GTTCTGTTCTTTCAGAATGTTTAACTTGTCATCTGCAAACCTGACCACTACACTGCTCATCCCTGTCCCAGATCATTTATGAACAAATGAAATAGCATTAGCACCAATAGTGATCCTTGTGAGACCTCTCTGCTTCCTTCCCTCCATTGAGAGATCTGTCTGTTTACTCTTGCTCTCTGCTTCTTGTCATTTAACCAATTTTTAATCTGTAGAAGCTGTCCTTTCATCCCATGGCTGTTAAGTTTATTCAGGAGTCCAGCATCGCTAGCTGCTTAGTCTTTTCTCAAGGGGCAGCATTCTTTTCCTTGGGTGTAAATTGTCTGCACAGTGGGCATTTACCAAGCCCATGATCCTCATCAAGGCAGAGGGAAAGGTTTCCCTTGCTCACTCCATCACGTGGCACTCATGTCTCAAACCGCTGAACTACAGACCTTCCGGTTTGCAGCTCAGCGTCTTAACCTCTGAGCCACCACGGCCCTGGAGCTGGACATGGAACTAGGGTCAAGATTGAAGATCCAGTTTATGATATTTGGAACTGTCCAGAGGAACATCCAGGAGATTTACTTGTAAAGATTAACTACGAAGAATTTGGTCACAGACAGCAACCCAAATAGGATCACTCTGCAGCGGGGCAAGGCATTGCCCTGAGAACTGGCCAGCTGGGATATTCCTCTGCATGCAAGATGTAACAAGGGAAATCAAGTTGTGTCTCCAGTAAGGTCACGGGAGCACCCTGAGCAGAGCCAGAATCTTCCTTAAAAAATGTTTTTGAACAACCCTCCATGTTCTTGAATCACAACAAAAAAGGTGTTTTCCTTTCTCCATTATTTTCTTTTTTAAAGGGAGTGAATTCTGAAGTTTTCTCTTCTTACACAGGCACAGTCCTTTTGCCTGCTAGACTGGATACCACTGAGTTGTGAATTTGCTAAGAGGCCTTGGACTCCACTTAATACGTAATAGCATTTTGATTTGTGCCTCGTCATTGTACCTACCTTGACTCACCATACCCTTTGATGAAGGATTGTCTTTGAAACGGTGTTAATATTATGTATGATACCATCAGGTATACTGGACAGTATTTTCCCTATGGACTGTTATTGCCCCTAGGAGGGCTTGTACTTGTGGACTATTTTGGATTGTATTACTTGAAGTCAGACTCAACTGTGCAACTGAACAACAAAGTGCATTCTATTCTTTTGAAGTGCTGTGTTTACATATTCAATATATTTAACATATCCATATGACTTATTACTTGTGTTAAAAACTTTTTGGGAGCGTTTCCACCTTTTCATTTCACCATTTTAGGGCATGGTGGTCACATATGGAGGCACCAGTTCTGACAACTGTTGCCTCTTCATAAGTGGCACCTGGATTCAAACTCACGGGTAAGCTGTGCATTGTTCCACCAGGATGATCACATGAACAACCTTAGCACCATATAAGTCATCAGAAACAAAGGTCACATAGCTATAAAGTTTAAACAGTTACAATGTTTGGCCCCTACCAGCTATGAATAAGGAAAAAAACTGCACGTGTTCGTGTGGCTTACTGCAAACTGTGAATACTGGTATTGACAAGATAGAGCCCCGTCAATCATGACAGCATACCTGTTGGTTGGGAAGAAAAGTTGATGAACAACAGGCTCTGGGAAAGACAGTTAAGAGGAGCAATGATACATTTTTAGAATAAATTGACAATAAAGACACCAAACAAGGGGAAATCTTGCAACGGGACATCTGGATCAGGGCGGATCGATTAAATCTAACAGTGGCGTTCGATACAGTCGACTATGATCTACTGACCCACTACCTCGCCAACGCAGGAGTTCAGGGGACTGCTTTGAAATGGTTTTCCTCCTTCCTCCATGGTCGGGGACAGAGTGTGGCACCTGGAAAGAGGGTCTCCCTGAGATACCCACTGGAATGGGGAGTGCCACAGGGAGCGACCCTCTCGCCAATGCTATTTCACATTTATATGCACCCCCCCTCATCCAGTTAGTCTGGAGTTATGGACTGGGCTGTCATCAGTATGCTGATGACACCCAGCTCTATCTGTTAAAGGACGGCCATCCATCTTCCGCTCCTATGAACTTGGACGATGCTTTGGATGCTGTGGCTGGATGGTTGCAGCAGAGTCAGTTGAAGTTAAATCCATCGAAGACGGAGGTCCTGTACCTGGGTCGAGGGGGGCTGGATGTGGGCGGCAGGCTCCCCACACTGGAAGGGGCGCCTTTCGTGCCGGCCCAGACAGCGAGGACACTGGAAGTGACATTGGAGGCCCAGGTTGCTGTAGTTGCCAGATCTGCGTTTTTCCATCTTAGGCAGATCAGGCTACCCGAAGCCCTCTTTCCCCCCAAGACCTAGCGACGGTGACCCATGCAATGGTCACTTCCGGGTTTGATTACTGCAACTCGCTCTATGCAGGCTTACCCTTGAAGCTGATCCGGAAATTACAACTGGTGCAGAATTAGGCACACCCTCCGTCAACTGCATTGGTTGCCAGTTGAGTACTGGATTTGCTTAAAGGTGCTGGTTTTGACGTTTAAAGCCTTACACGGCCTGCGACCACCGCCTCTTCCCATATACGCCTCGAAGAGCATTACGCTCTAAAGCTCAACACCGCCTGGTGGTCCCTGGCCCGAGGGACGCCCATCTTGCCTCAACCAGGGCCAGGGCTTTCTCTGTCCTGGCCCCAGCCTGGTGGAACATGCTCCCTATTGAGACCAGGGCCCTGCGGGATCTCCTTCAATTCTGCAGGCCCTGCAAGACGGAGCTTGCTCTGCCAGGCCTTTGGCTGAGGCAACAGGTGCCCACATATGGCCTCCCTAAGGCTGCAGTCACCTGTCTGTATACTGACCACTGACCACTGGCCTTTAACTCACTGTACCATTGGGCCAGAATTGTATAGCCAACTGATGCTGTTTCAAGCTGTACCCATTGTTCTAACTGTTCGAATGTTTTATCGTGTTTTAAATTGAAATTGTATTCATTATAATGATGTTACCCACCCTGAGCCCGCTCGTGGAATGGGCAGGATATAAATGCAAATAATAAATAAATAAACATATGGGTAAGCACAAGACGAAAGTTATGCTGCCTTGTACATTTTTTTACACCCTTCTTCCAAGGCGCTCAGAGTGCCGTGTCACCATTCCCCACTTTATCTTCACTACCACCCTGTATGGTAGGTTAGGCTGTGTGTGATTGGTCCAAGGTTACCTAAGACAGCAGGAAGATTTGCATTTGGGTCTATCATATCCAAACACTACAACACAGGCCTAGGAAATGTTTGCATGGAGTAGGCCACAGGATAAAAATGCCAACTGAGCCATAATACCAACTCAATGGTATAGCTGCTTGGACTGTAGGCAGATACGGTGTCATTATGAATAAAACAATGAACAATAATAAATGCATATACAATCAAAGCACACAGAGCAATCTCAACTACCAAAACCTCTGATCTATCTGAAGTCTAATCCCCATGTATCAAGACCAAATGTGTGCAGACATTCTTATATTGCATTACGTGTACATTCATAATGAACACTTGCATAACATGTGCACAGGAATCAGACCTTCCCACTCACAACTGTGGTTTTACACATGCAAAACTGTACTCGGCATTACTGTGGATGCAAATTCAGAGCTTTAGTCATGCAATTCAGAGCTCCAGCTCATGCAAATTCAGAGCTCTAGTCCACTAATTTACACCATTCCCTGCTCTTCCTCCTCTAGTCTAACAAGTACTCATCTGGAACTACCAATGAAAAGTAAGGCAATAAACTGATCCTTTATTAATTATCCTCAAAGCTTGGATTTAAAGTAATAAATACACTAACTTTAATAGTGTACACTGGCATATTTGAATGCAGTGATGGCAGTCTCTGGAGAATGCAGTGATGGAGAAGTTTCTGCTGTACATTTACAAACTTTAAGACTAATCTGCTTGACCACAAATCCAAACCGTTGCCACAACCAACAAGTTGATGTTTTAATTATACAACTAAATAAGCAAACATTAAATACATTTTGCACAGTACTGGGCAAGAGAGCAGCTAAAATATGACCTGTTGAAAAGACGTAGCCATATAAAAAACAAACAACACCCATTCACGTATTTGAGTTTTATGATCTGCAAGTCCAATATGGTTTTTCCTGCCTCTCTGCAGGGACAAGAGCCAAAAGAAGTAGAAATCTTCATAAGAAATGCTTATGTTACTACAAATACACAGTGAAATTTTCTTTACCAAAATATAAAAATTACTGTCATCAGAACACGTAGCAAACATTAACTTTTAAAAATACAGAATTCTATAGTGCCCGTTCCAAAACAAACAAACATGAAATGAATTCTGGAACAGGGAATGTAAAATGTTGACGAATGGGGTTTCTTTGCTTTACTGAAGTGAACATTCACTTTATAAAGTACAAATGATTCCACAACATAAAATGCCACCTTGTTTTATATTTTTAAAATTACATTGGAATTTTACAAGTGCTACTTAGTATGGTCCTATCACACTGCATCTTGGGTAGTCTGATCACACTTAGACTGGAAACACTGCTTGATTAAAACTATAAACTGAGCATAATTCAGCTCTGCATGTGCAAGTAGAAGTCATGATTGTTGGGAAGGGAGATGCCTTGTGCATTAGTAGAATATTACCTTCATGTATGGGTTCCCCAATCAATGCCAACCTCATTCAACGAGCAAGGGCTACATCATATGTTGCACAGAAGTGGAAAACAGGAAACATATTTAGAGGAAGATTTCCATGGATAGAAGGGAGGGGGGAGTTGTCCGGGGGGAGTCCTCTGTTCCCCAGGATGAGTACTGGGGGGGGGGGTTTTTGGTGTCACGCGGTGGGGCGGGCGCGCTCCAAGCCATTAATGCTTCCTTTCCTACTTGCAGAATGAAGTGAAAGACTTGGATGACATCAATTATTTAAAATAAATAATGTATCTGCTCTATTTCAGCAATGGCCACCTGGTCAGATTTCATTCCCTCTGTGTTTTTTTGCTTTGTTTCCATTTCCAAAGAACAGTTCCAGTGCTGCTAGCTACTACACAAAGAGCCCCCCCAAACGACCACCAAGTGGGGAAAGTATTGAGGAATATAATCTGAAAAATAAAAGCAAACACAACAGCCATCGTTTTCATTACAGCAACGGGTCCTGCTTTCTCTATCTGTAAAGCTTTTGTGAGACATATCTGACCACAGAACCCAAACAATCCAATCAATATTAAGAGAAACCTATCTCTGCCACAATAAGGTAAACTCCAGGAATCTAGCACAAAAAGGGTTATTATGCATATTATTAATCCAACTATTGCATAATACCAAATGGTTAAAAGGTAGTGCACTGATTTCCCCACCTTTCTTATTATAACAAAAGCTGAAGAAGCACATATTGCACTTATAAGAGCAACTATGGTCCCTTTAAGATGATCCGTGTAGTTTCCTTCAATCACTGCAACTTTGGATCCAAACAAGAAAGGCGGCCTTGCAATAAGCACCACTCCAGTGATGGTGAGTAGCACAAAAAAAAGATCCCAAGGACTGTATTTCTCTTTTAGAAATATCCAAGCAAACAGGGTTGTAAACGCTGGACTGCTGAAAGAAATAACCGTAGCATCAGCAAGGGGCATCACTTGCAAAGCATAATAGAGGAAAATCATTGCACAAGAGCCAAAAAATCCTCGGAAGAAAAGAAAAACCCGTTTGTCTTTTGGTCCCAGAAATCCTGTCCTAAAAGAGAGAGAGAGTATTTCAGTTGAAAGGTGGTACATAAATGTAGTCATATGTTAAGCATGTAACAAGGTATTATTCAGGCCTCTGTAGCAGACGTGTTTCAAGATGCAATGAGGAGATGACAACAGCATGAACCAATCTGGGCTTTGCCAAGTTAGGTGGGCTGGAGCAATTGAACCTTCTATCTGAACCTACATACTTCCCCAATGAAAATTTCCAGAGCTGTTTGTCCTCCCAGTGAGGCTAACTTCTGGTCAGTGAGCCCCACCAGGGGGAAAAAAGGTTTCCAGTGGTGGAGAAACCCTTGAGTGTGGGAAGGATTAATCTCTCTCATCTTGCTTTGCTCAAGCTGCATTTTAAAGCTCCCTCTGAACTGAACTATGTTTGTCCCAGTTGGATATGGCATATGGTGGCTCTCAGTTCCCAACCGTCACACACAGTTTACTACAGTTTAAATGCTAGTCTGCTGTTTTAAACCCAATTGTGTTATATGAAATTGTTAAAACCATTATGGTTTTGACCTGTTCCAGTTGAAATGCACTACACCGTAATTATCCTTACCCTTTCCTCACATAGAAGGGATAATACTCACTTGTGGTATATTAAACCAGGAAGAACAAACGTTATTTGGAAACTACATCTAAAAGCACTGGCTTCTACCGCATGCACATCTTCAATCATCTTCAGAAATAAAGAGACCACTGAGAAGAGGAAAGCAGACAACAGCGCATAGTACAGGCCAAGCCCAGGACAGGTACTTTTTTCAGTTCCTGTAACAGAATAATTGTAATTTCCAGTTAGAATGAAGAATACTTGCATTGTATTTTTATTTAATTACATGCATGCCCAGGTTTTGAATACTTAACTTAGAGTAGGGAAAAAACACAGACATTATACATTCATTGCTGTTGAAAGTAGTGAAATATACTTAGGGTTAATGTTTAATTTGCATTCTGGAAATGCTCAGAGGTTAAGCTAAAACTACTTTCCTAGGCAGACATAAGACCTTAGATCAAGATTTCCTACATAACCTTCAGCCTGTCAGTTGGTGTGTGTGTGTGTGTGGGGGGGGGCAGGAATCAGTGTTCCCTCTAAGCGGAGTTAGTGTGAGCTAGCTCACAGTTTTTTAGCCTTCAGGTCACACATTTTTGTCTTCGCGCAGGAAGGATGGCTCCAGAGCAAACTAATTTATGCAGCAGCCAAATCGCTCACTCACAACTTTAATGCCAGTAGCTCACAAAGTAGAATTTTTGTTCATAAAACTCCATAGCTTAGAGGGAGCAGTGGTAGGAATGTTCACATTGGCGTAAGAAGAACCAAAGAACTTTTCCCCATGACACCCTTACCATTTGGTGCCAGTTGGTAGTATTCCATGAGGAAGATCGGGTAGAGGGTCAGAGAGATTTAAAAGGAAGAACTGTGCCCTTCATTAGGGAGACTGGAAAGACATTTTGAGTAAAAGGAAAGCACAGCAACCAGAGTGTGGGAGGCTAAAGGAAAAGAGCTGAGAGGCTTTGGGTCAGATTTGGGACATGGCAGAGAAAGGAGCCAACTGTTGTTGGAGAATTTACTGAAGCACCAAGAAGCTGCATCCAACTCTCTCTGGGGGTCTGATGTGGGTGGTGGATCTGTTGCCCTGTAGGATTATCTTTGTGCCTTCACCTGTGCTTTGTTCATTTGTTAAGTAAAGCAAATTGTACAAAGATACCGTAAGTTTATAGTATTCTCTCTTTCTGAAGGAACCAACCCAGGTAAGTGCTAGCCCCTGGAACTTTTCACCATCTGGAAAAGTGTAGTAAGCTAACTGTATGAAGAGCAAATTTTGACATAGCAGTGTGGGTAACTAGGCTGCCATTACTTATGACACCTGAGCTAATTATAAAAAATTGCAGAAGTACAAAGTACAGCTAGGTGTCTCTAACAGACTGGTATGTATGAGTATCACTTTTGGGTCCACAGAACACAGACTCATTTGGAGAATCCCCTGACTTCATTACAGGGAGCAAAGAAATACTTTGATAATTTATCAAGCAACAGAAAATAATGAGCTCAATTCAGTGTGTTATGTGAACCTAGGGATCTGCACAACAAATATGCCTGTGACAATCTTTGACAATGAAATGAACAGGGAATCCCCTGCTTGCAGGTAGCATTTTACACTCTGGAGCTGTTGGACTGAGATACTGGTGAATGTAGCTTCTATGACATCATCTCTTGCCATTGTGTCACTATAAGTAAACTAAGCTGAAAAATAGCATGTGACTGACCACTTATTAGCTTCACAGATGACCAGCGATTCAAACCTGGATCTCATTTGTGCAAATCCACCAAATCTCTTTCCACTGCGCTATGCTAGTTTTCTGATAATTCAGAATTCTGTTTAGACAGCAAGCTCCCCACCCCCTAATCCCAGCCCCTCTTTGAGTGCCTCAAGAACTCATTTTTTATATTATTCTTCAGCTCAAAACTTCTGGGACCACTTCACACATAACTTTTTCCCCCTGAAAGGAATATTAATGCCCATGTGAAATAAAAGCCAAATAGATGACTTGGATTCTACCTAAAATTTCTGCAGATGGGAGGATACCTCATCCCCCGGGATCTGGCCACAGTGACACATGCAGTGGTCACTTCCCAGACTAGCTCTGCTCCAGAAGCTGCAGCTGGTGCAGAACACAGCAACATAGGTGTTGACTTTGTTGTCTGCACAGACGCATATTCACCCTGTGCTGCATGAACTGCACTGGCTGCCTATTGATTACCGGATCCATTTCAAGGTGCTGGTGCTTTCCTTCAAAGCCCTATACAGCTAGGGTCTGCATACCTGCAAGACCGCCTCTCCCCTTATGGCCCCCAAAGAGTGTTACGATCTGCTAATCAGCATCTGCTGATGGTCCATGGCCACCCAGAGACATCTGTCTTGCCTTAACTAGGGCCTGGGCTTCTTAAGTCACTCGCTTAACAAAGCAGTCGGAGAATGATTCAGCAAGAACACAACTTTTATTCTTCAACTCGAAAACAACTCCAACACGGATCAACATCTGATAGCCAGAACAGCCTTTACATTGCAACTGTCCTGCTTTTAAACATTCCCGGCCAATGTAGCCACACCCACTGTACAAATACCAACCAATAAGGTTGTTCACATACGGACCAATCACGGATGTTCCTGCTCAGGGAGCTTGCTTGAAAATGATTGGTTAGGTGCTTCCTGGGCTAGTAACACGATTGGATGGATTTGGATCCTAGCCCAGGACGAAGCTTTACATTACACTTCAATTAGATGTTTCACAACATATCATGCATTCAAGGCAGCTTTGAATACACTACAGGGCTTTTCTGGCGTAGGCCCCTACCTGGCGCTGCATCAAAAGTCGGGAGCTGACACCCCAGACCTGAACCTCCCCAGCTCAACCACAGGACCTCCATCTTCATTGGATTTAATTTCAGCTGACTCTGCTTCAACCACCCCACCACAGTTCCCAAACCCTCTACCAAATTTTCAGGAATGGAGCCCATCCATCCGTCCATCAACAGATATAGCTGGGTGTCATCAGCGTACTGGTGACAACCCAGCCCAAGGAGGTGCATATAGATGTTGAATAACACTAGTAAAGCAGATATCAGGTAAGGAAAATCTCAGGTTTTATAAACTGGATGCTCACTATTAGTGGAATAGTGCAATTAGGTAAAGGTAGAGGTTCCCTTGCTCGAAAGCCAGTCAAATCCGACTCTAGGGTTGCGGTGCTCATCTCCGTTTTGAAGCCGAAGAGCCAGCGCTGTCCGAAGACGTTTCCGTGGTCATGTGGCTGGCATGACTAAACACCACGGCGCACGGAACGCTGTTACCTTCCCACTGAAGTGGTACCTATTTATCTACTTGGAATTTCTTGCTTTCGAACTGCTAGGTTGGCAGAAGCTGGAACTAGAGACAGGAGCTCACTCCGTCATGCGGCACACTCGGGTCTCGAACTGCTGAACTACCGACCTTCCACAGCCTGCAGTACAGCATCTTAACCACTTGAGCCACCGCTGCTCCATAGTGCAATTAAATGCTCACTATTAGTTATACCATCTACCTTCACTAAATGAAGGTATACCTTTTACACTAATGATGAGCTATATAGTGGGATCCCCTATTAATTTACAATGAGCTGACTAACAGTGCAGTCCTATGCAAACTCACTTGAATCTAAGTCATTGAAATGAATGCACTTAGACCAGAGGAACTTGCATTTTAAATTTTATTTCATTTAAAACATTTTTATCCTACCTTTCACCCAACTCAGGGACCCCTAAAAATGGCAAACAATAAGAAAAAATATTAAAACCAACTTTAAAAACCACGCTTAAAATACATAAAGAGGAAGGAAGGTCACCAAGGGAATGCCAAACCAAACAGAAAAGGCTTCATCCACTAGATGAATCTGCACGGTAGGATTGCACTGTAACCCAAGGAATCCAACCTGATGTATAAATGGCTTATTTTTTCCACATAAAAAGAACAAGTCTCTACAGGCTTGAGGACAAAGATTCCCAAATAGATCCAAGACACAGATGTGTGGGGTAATGTCATACAGCACAAGCAGAGTTCTCAGAACTCTCAGCCCTTGATCAGGTAAGTCTCTGGCTCAGTAAATTAGCAGCCCGGGGGCAGGGAAAATATCCTCTGAAGCCATTTGGAGTTGGGGTCAGCTCACTACTTTTTCTAACTAAAAAAGAAAACAAGAACCATAATTCCTGTAACTAAACTGACATTGTGTGGGGGTTTATGGAAGAAAGCAGCGGATTGGTATGGCAATTCTGTCAGTTGACAGGTAATTTGGAATTACAGCCAGAAAGCTGGGGATCAACGTTTTCATGCCATTTGACAGCTGTGAACTCACGGTGGCAGAATACAGACAGGCTAGTATGTATTCTCAGTTCCAAGACCAGCCACTGAAAGTGAATAGCAGGATAACTCTCCTTTTCAAAAGAACTGCCTCTCTTTCAGCACACTGAGGGACTTGATTAATGAACAAATATGCTTTGTTACAAAGAATAAACTATGCCAACCTACATACACTAGGGAGGAAGGCCCGTTGAGAAGGGCGATACAACGGGCAGCTAGCCCCCCCACCTCCTCCCCCTCCCCACCCTCTCCCCGGCAGCGGTGCCCCGAGCACGGCTGAGAACCGACTCGCTGGGGGAGGGGAACGTCCGGAGGTTGCAGAGAAAGTTCTCGGTCACTGGGTATTGTCCTACAACGGGCCACTGAAACTGCCAGCCTTTCTTGTCTGAGCCAGGCTGAAGAGGAGGAGGCGGCGGCCGCGAAGGGAGCGAAGTGAGGCAGGAGAGGGCCCCCCCAGCCTGGGCGATCGTCTGTCCGGGAGGCTGGCTGCCTGCGAGTGCGCCCCCTCCCCCCCGCGGCACAGGCTGAAGAGTCTGAGGCAGCAGCGGGAGCAGGGGCCGGCAGGCAGGCAGGAGAGCGCGGTCCCTCGCAGTCCACTGCCAGCCTTTCTTGTCTGAGCCAGGCTGAAGAGGAGGAGGCGGCGGGCGCGAAGGGAGCGAAGGGAGGCAGGAGAGCGCCCCCCCCCACCTGGGCGATCGTCCGTCCGGGAGGCTGGCTGCCTGCGAGCGCGCACCCTCCCCCCCGCAGAGCTAAGACAAAAATCTGCGAGCTGGAGGTTAAAAAACTGTGAGCTAGCTCACATTAACTTAGCTTAGAGGAAACACTGCCCACCACTATATGTTTGTGTGGTACTGCCATGCCTCTGTTCCACCCCCCGCACTTTCCATGCTCTTCATTATTAGGTCTTGTTCAGAGGGTATTGTTGGAAGTTTCAAAAAGTTGCATATAAGATTTTAGCTGCTGTTAC